CTTATCGTGAGATTCACGGAAACTCGTCAGTTATGTTTCATTGTTGCATCATTTCCAGTTCTTCTTTCTTTCTATAAACTAATTATAAATTAATGCGTTTAATATTTTTTTTAATCTCAAAAGGACAACTTTCCTCCGACGGAGTTAAAGGTGGAAGGTATTTATCAGCATTAAAGTTTTCGAAGGAAACTCATTCTCAGTTTCACTTCCAACCTTTGTCAAACCAAGAAATTTTAGAAGAAATAGATGAAGGCAAAGTACAATCTTCTGATAATGACATTGAACCTGCTGAGCCAGTTTCTGCCTCACTTGTTGAAATCGTGGAAGAAAGCAGTCCAAGTCAAGCTCAAAATGATGATTTTAAACAGCTTTCGCAAACCAAGAATTCTTCACATTCCTCTGCGATCTTTATATTTCCTCAGCACAAAGTACATACTTTGCAGACAGGTCATCGTAAGCCGCTTGTGAAGTTCAAACAGAACTCTGCAGGAGTCTATCCGTCTTCCAGCAAGTCAAAGATTTTTACGCGAGTATATATTCCCGGAAAACCTCGATTATTCAACACATCTCATGCCGGGCCTAATTGGACGAAATTACTTTTATCTCGGAAATTTACCTCTCTTAAACACAATACTTTTAGAAAAAGTGCATCACAGCTATCCAACAATATAAATGTAGCAGATGAGGCGAGGAAACGAATTAATCAAATGGAACGCAATCAAGCGAGTTATCGTGACATTCTGGAAGCATTCATTTCTCGGATGGGCCTGAACGTAAGTTCAGACCTCCACCCCAAGCCTTCTCCGCGCGTTTCCCATCCGCGTCCTTTTAAGAATGTTCTACTGAACAAGGGAAACACTAATTTACCACCGAAAAAGGCTTCTTTGCAAAGGACATCAAATCAGAGAGGAGGTTACATGAACTTTCATACTGCAAGAAAATCTACTAGTTTGTCTGCGAATTCATTGCAGTCAACTACTGTCATTAAAGGTGTGCCGTTAGAAAAGAAAGAGAAGACAAGTCCGCTAGAAGAAGTTTTTGATAGCCTGTCAGATAAAGAATTCCTTAACAGTAAAAAGAACTCGACATCACAGGGAGGAAAAAAGTATGTAAATAACAGCCCCAATCCGAGAATTTTGAATTCTTCGCTGAGAGACATGACAGCACGTGATAAACCTGGACTCGGGACACATCCTAAAAGCCAAGTATCACCACTAAGTTCTAGTGTTAACAACGCACAGATGAAAGCCACAACGCCACAGCTGAAGAAAAATAAAAGCCAAGACAAGAGCAGAAATATTGCCATAGGACGTGGCAAATCTGGACTCGGGAAGCGTCCTAAGAGCCAAGTATCACCACTAAGTACTAGTGTTAATAGCACACAGACGAAAGGCGGAACGCCACAGCTGAAGGAAAATAAAAGCCAAGACAAAAACAGAAACATTGTGATAGGACGTGACAAATCTGGACTCGGGACACATCTTAAGAGCCAAGTATCACCACTACGTCCTATTGGTAACAACACACAGACGAAAGGCACAACGCCACAGCTGAAGGAAAATAAAAGCCAAGACAAAACCGGTAATATCGTCACAGGTCGTGACAAATCTGGACTCGGGACGCGTCCCAAGAGCCAATTATCACCACTAAGTCCTAGTGTTAACAACACACAGACAAAAGGCACAATGACACAGCTGAAGAAAAATAAAAGCCAAGACAAGAGCAAAAATATTGTGACAGGACTTGACAAATCTGAACTCGGGACGCGTCCTAAGGGTCAAGTATCACCACTAAGTACTAGTGTCAACAATACACAGACGAAAGGCACAATGACACAGCTGAGGTTAAATAAAAGCCAACACAAGAATAGAAATATTGTCACAGGACGTGACAAATCTGGACTCGGGACGCGTCCTAAGGGCCAAGTATCACCACTAAGTACTAGTGTTAATAGCGCAAGGAAGAACACCACAACGACACAGCCGAAGAATAATAACTTGAAGACCCAAGACAAGAGCGCAAATATTCGTGATTACCCTAAAATTGAAACTCATGACAAACATTTAGTTGATCACATCAAAAGTGTTAGTCACAATTCGGTGCTGGCCCACGCCAGAAAAAATGCTATTTACTTAAACAGTACAAAGTGGTCTATCAATACAAATGGCACATTTACTCTCTCGCTGGATTCCAACAGTTCACTGAAACATTTTAGTGACCTTATCAACTTTTTTAACAGTTTTAATTCGGCCTCCTCTGACAAAAAACCGACCTCAAACATTAGTACTGGAGGAAACAGTCACATAAGTAGTAAATTCAGAAACGGCACAAAACATCGCATTATTTCAGGAAACCTGCTCAGGTTTTTGGACTTTGTCCACACTAAAAAGACGAGTAAGAGACTGGAACTGAAAAAAGGACACACCCATTCTGACCACGACTCCATCGCAGATCAAATCAGAAAACAACTACAGATGTCGATATACAGAGGTTGGAACAAGGCAAGCAAAGAAAGAAGGCTCGGCTCTAAAAAACTGCCAATGTCATCTTACCCGTCTGTAAACAGTAAACTTACTAATTCACATGATACAATGCGATTGAAGAGTAACGATAGCTTAAACAAAAGCGAAGGAGACGACTTTGAGCTTAACGTGCTACAGATGATGAAAAATGTGAGTCAAAAAGACCTTTTAAAACTGGAAGACGACATAGTACATGCGTTAAGCTCCGCAAAGCTGTGGAATATGCCACAACAACATGAAAAGCAAAATCCAGGGCAACAACACCAAATTAATCCAGAGAAGATGAAAGATAAGCAAATAATTAATCGTCAGCACAACAAACAAGAACACTTAAGCGAAAAGCAACGAAACCATCAACAACAATTGAATGAACAATGGCAAAAACTAGACACATTTAAACATCGTAACCCAAAAGTTGGACAACAAAAAAACCAAACTCATACTCAAAGGAAAAATAAACAAACAAAGCAACAAATTGAAGATATCAATAATGGAACAACGTTGCACCAACCTGAGCTCGAATTTGAGTCTAGACAAAGTCATTTACAGCAAACTAACCACACAAGACACCTCTTAAAGGAGAAGAACATGTCTCATTCTTTGGAATCAACAACAACAGTTCAAAACTGTAGCCTGTTAGCCAGTTCTGTAAATACTACCACGAAATTTCTTAATTATGGGTGTAACCAAACTCACAACAAATTATCTCCCCAAAATAATGGAAGCAAAGATTTCTTTTCACATTCCGCCAACACCTCACAGGCAAAAACTGGTGCATTAATTAAAATTGCACATACATTGCACAATGCGACTTCTGTACAATCTCCTTTGGCTCGTCACAGCTCGGCGAGAAAAATAACACGAAATAACACTTTGCCCTTAAAGACTGGGAACAGTACTGTTGTTACAAAACCTGGCTTCAATGTAGCTAAGGATGTAGATGACGCCAAAAATATTTCAATACAGCTTGACAGAGATTCAGCTCAGCAACCAGTGAATACTGAATCAATTTCCGAAGGAAAGACAGGCTCAGGGATAGTAGAGCTAACAGAATTTGTCGACCAAGGTAAGTTGGGGGAAAACGTGTCTTACAGCTGGTATAGGGTGCTTACCATTTGTCAGAATAAACCGGTTGGGATGATCGTTGAATAATGATAAGGGTTTTTCTAGGATCAGCAAACCAACCGAACGAGATGCCGCTTACCATTTGCAATTCGATTTCTCGTAATTGTTTTCGGCTGATGAGAGACTGGAAACTGGAAAATTTCCTTCGTTCCGTTTCAAACGAGAAAAGAGGGCTACCTCTGGAGATAGTCTACAATTTCCGAACGCATTTTCTGGAAAATTACTGTTCCATTTGACTTTCAACCGAAATTTCCGGATTTTTTTTGCTCAAAGGTAAGTACCCATAGTTTTCTTTGAGCCGTAGCTATATTATACGTATTTAGCGTTTCATATACACTGATATTTAAAATAACTGTAAGGATAACCAGCAAGATAGCTCAGAGCGTCCAATGGGGGACGATTGTGATCTTGGCAGCTGTCTGTAAAAAAGGCGTCATTCGTCAATTATCGTTTAGAATTTTGACTGTTGTCAGAGTTGGGATGTTAAATCAATTATAAGTGCTCCAAACTAGACCCTCACATAAGTGCATGTAACTTCCTTGCATTTTCCTCCCATTTTCCTAAACAGTGCCAGACAAGGAAAATCTGACAACAAAGTGGTCGGAGTGGACACCGTGCTCAAAGACATGTGGTGATGCAAAAAGAAAACGGATTGAATACCGCTGTACTTCTAGCTCTCAGGAGATCAGAGACTGCGAGGTCAGCGGCCTGCAACACGAAGCATGCGTCTTCAAACCTTGCCCTGGTAAGTGTATTGGTATTAATGGATGCAGTATTCAAGAATCAGACCTTTCTTTTACAAGGCTGCACATTTCTGTGAATTGATATGCATGAGGCGTTTTCTCAATTATTACCATTGTGTCGTTATCCTCGGCCAGCCACCACTTGTACAGAGCAATGAAATATTAAATTGCATGATCATGAAAAAAGTTGGTGGGATGTGGCGGGATTTCATCTTCATCTTCATATTCAATTGATTTCAACGTTGTGCAGATTATGACCTCACTGACTGATAAACCTTTTTTTAGTATAACGGACGGAAAATGAGTTTATATGATACATTGACATGAAAACTCAGAAAAAAAAACCGTTCACTCGATCTAAATGAATTCACTCCACGATAACTATGTTTCCAAATCATCCCCTGCCAGATGGCTATATTTCTCATTTTTATTCTGTAAGAGCATTGAGATTTTTTAATGTAATGCGCTAGAAATAAATTATTATTATTATTATTATTTTATTTTATTTTTTTTTTTTCCCTGCAGTGGATGGACGGTTTACATCATGGACCCGGTGGAGTACGTGCAGTAGAAGCTGTGGATTCAAAGGATTTTCTGTTCGCAGCAGATCCTGTACAGCCCCTAAGCATGGCGGTCAGCCATGTTATGGTGCTGGGATTGACACTCGAGAGTGTAATCGAAAGCACTGTCCAGGTAAAGTACAGATGTTTACACAACTCAATTACCAAGCAGAAAAAGCAATAAGCACAACAACCAGTTCGATAGAGCTAAAAGTCAGGAAAAGCTAGATGGGCCTACAGCCATACAGACATTGTGTTTAACGATAGTTTTTATAGCTGCATTTACTCTTACATTAAACAATATCCTCGTCGAATAAAGCAACTGGTCCTTGCTAAATATTTCAACACGAGTAAAACAAAGTGAAAACATATTCTTTTGAAGAAAGGAAAGGTGGAAAGTAATTTGTACGACCTGTAAAGATTTGTCGATTCAATGAGTCAAGGGCATAAACAACGCCATTTCATAGCCTCTATAACTCGATCAAACTAACGATGATTACCTAAATGTGATTAAAAACACTGCAAACTTACTTACGTTACGTATCTCCCTTAGTTAACGGTGGCCTAAGTAAGTGGTCCAAATTCGGTCTTTGTTCAAAATCGTGCGGAGGTGGAGTGAGGATGCGTCATCGAGAATGCAACAATCCTGTGCCTCGATATGGAGGAACGGAATGCGACCCAACAGACTTATTTGAGACACAATCGTGCGGAGACATGAAGTGTCCTGCCAAGACACTGAAGCGTGAGTAAAAGGATCATTATTATTTCTTTTTTCGGCTTAATTTGAAAGATAGGCTCCATTTCTGGCCGTTTCGGGAATCCGGTTGTCATCCTCCTCCCAACGAACGATGTGGGGCAAGAAACGCGGGCTCACAAAACGGCTGGAAATGGAACCTAATTGAAAGACTAATAAGGGAAAATTACCCATAGAGGGTCATTAATTAAATGGTGACGAATTGCCTTACTGATTTCCTCATCGTTCCTACTTACCAGTTGTCTTATTTTGAACCCAGGTCTCCAAGTTGCCGATGTGGATCCTAAATCCTTGTGTGATTTCAATCCCTGTGACGAGGCTGGATGTCTGCATGACCCAGCTGCACGGTGTATCACCGACTTTGAATGTAATCCAGTATTCTTTAATGTCGATGGGGACATGCTGTCAAATTGCAAGGGTACGTTGAGCTCAACTGGTTCATATAACTTGCCATGTAAAAAGAACTATTGCCTCACCAGTTAATGACAACCAAGAGCTCATTGAATAAATGTTGAATACTCCCCTACGCTGCAGAATGTAATAATAATTGATTGGATTTTTGGTAGGCGGCAGCTGCCTACCATAATAGGTTTCTATGTCGTGATTCCTACCTTCTTAATTCCTTCCTTCCTCCCTCGCCTCTCTCTCATCGAAGCCAAATACGTAGATCAAAGTCAAAGGTAAAAATATTGCCTTGAGTTGACAAGGGTAAAGAAAAGCTGGAATAAAATGATTCCAAAGTAACGTTTCATTCTTTTGTGCCATAGATTCTTTAACTTGCTCCCTGCATTCCACCCACAGCGTTTAATCGTGTCGCTGTCGACTTTTTAATCTTTACAGGAATGGGCAGCCTGTTTTCTCGAATTCCAGAGGTGATCTGTAGCTACAATCCATGTCTTTCTGAGAAGTGCTGGGAAATCAGAGACCAGTGCGTTGTTGATCTCAAGTGCAGGCCTGTGTTCATTGGTATCGACAGACGTTCAATACCACCTCAGTGTCAAGGTGAATGTGGATCTTGTGGATATTGATATTACCTGGTAGAGGGTTCAGATATGACTAACCAGTAAAAGGGTGGAGATTGGTCAACGCGAGACTTCGGAAGAATGCGAGACGAACGTTTTTCTTTGCCAGCCCGAGACTTCAAAGAGTTTTACATTTGAGGACGAAAAGTTTAGGCTCTAAGACGTTCAGACGTCACTTTATAAATGCAAACAAAAATAATCTGGACTTCGAGAATTTCATAGCTTCGAGACAGCTTTGTGAAAAAAATTGAGGCTGTGAGACGTACTTCGAGACCGTGAAATTGGACGATCATTTTGCGAGACCCATGGTCCTTGAAGGACCATTCACTACCCCTAGTAAAAAGTCCGACCCAAATCCTGCCTTGCAGTCAATCTGATCTTATAAAATAATCACTGATAACGGCACGCATTGAGAGCAATGTTAAATTAAATGCACGCACAATGTTCGTTTCCAAAGGTTGTCCTTTTAATCCTGCTGTGTTTTTATCTGTTTAGTACATGCTACTGCGAGAGTGGATCGATTGAGAGGAGACCAAACCTGGACTAAGTTCTTTCCCACGAGCAGACCAGCTCCTGTTAACCTTGCCAGTGATTTAATGCCATCGTTTACACAACTTTGGTTCCCAGTAGCTTCTTCTAATAGAATCCAGCCATTTGAAAGGTGAGGCTTAAAGGCGTTACTAAATTCCTTTTTAACTGATCTACCACGTCCGACCTGGGGGAAGGCTTACAGCTAATTAATTGGGGGAGATTTTGATAGATTTTGCGTGGGAAATATTTTAACGAATCTGCTTGTATAAATATGAAAAACTTTAGCGCGATGTCGCATGCTGAAACGTTACAAGCAGTCTTGTTTAGGGAGAAATTCCCTGTTTTACTTTTTTTGACAGTATTAGTGCTAACCGTATATTTACTGTTTTTCTGTTAAAGGATGACCGATGTAAATAATTATCCACTGGCTTTTTCAAGGACTTTAAATACCTCTCCTGCAATGGCTAACAGTAAGCATACAGGTAAAGTACAAACACATTAATTATACACTGTATAATTTTGAATAACATCCTACGGAAAGGTTACGTTCAGATCAGCATTACGCAGTCCGCCCAACAACTGCAGCAATGCATTAGTGAGCATTGTTGATCTCCATAAGAAAACATTTTATCACGAAATATTGGTTGGACAAAAACCGGCAACTCTTCTGATATCTTCGTAGAGTTTTCAAAAAAAACGTACAAGTAAGTTTGACTCCTTGATCTACGAAATGCTCTTTACCAAATATATTTAGCCTTCTTTGAAGGAACACGCAGACTGATTCGATCCACGTAAAAGCTTTTACCTAACACTTTATAGTCATTATATTGGATTTGTTTTTTTGCGAATTATACCCGTAGGGGCAAAAACATTTTCTTTATTGTTTTATCTTATTCTGATATTTTCCTGTTATCATTCAGTATTTTCAGTAACGATGAAACATCATATTTACTCTTAGCTGAATCAGTTGTGGGGTCAAGTATTTAGTGATTATGTTTTGTGAACTTGAGGTCGTTTTGGTAAGCTAAGGATTGGTCGATCTCCTACGTGTTTCTTTTCCGGCTTTTCTTTTCTTTTGTCCTGCTGGTCAACAATAGGTTTTAGCTGTTAAGATGTTGCAATTTGCTCGCTACCTTAGCTAAGTACCTTCTTTGTCTTCCTTAACTGAAGGTTAACACTTGCTTAAAATTAACAGATATCTTTTCTTAACTGTAATTGGTTGGTCTTTCCTTACTCTAGCATTTCGCACGGCTAATGAATGATTATTAATGAAAGCTACAAAAACACAAACAGCGGCCAGCTCTGAAAACGGTGCCTGATGGAAAATGGCATGCTCCAGTATTAGAAAATGAGTCAGGAGTTTCATTTCTTCATCAATTTTCTGATGGAAAACAGCGTTAGGGGAGTTTGATCACGGAGAGAACTATATGATGGCACACGAAACTGTTGAATTCCAAGAATTATCTTCACCCCCTCCAACGAGACGTTGACTAATTTTAAATCTCCTTGTCTGTTGGTTCTTATAGTGCAATCTTTGGAGCAAAGGCCAGTGACAGAAGTATTTATTGAGAAAGTTCCGAATGGAAACCAGGCTGATGATGATGATGATGATGATGATGATAATGATGATAACGATGACGTCGATGAGAGCAATGCTGATGAAGATGACGATGGAAATGTATTTTCTGACTTTGACGAGGATGGTTGATAAATATTGGCACTACTAATAAATAATTGTTAATGAAACAAACGAAACCGTCTTGTGCGTGTGCACCAATCTAAATCGATAACCTTGTTAAGGTTTGCTTGTACATGTTTCAGCTGGCGTCAACAAGATCTTATTTCAACAGTTTGTTAGCAATGGCTGGTTCTGACAAGAAGAAATATAACTAGGAATTAACAAAGATATTAAAGAGCGTACGTTTATGGCAAACGGCAACGAAAATGAAACTTTTGCCGTCTGCCTTCAGCTGTTTGTCATGAAGAGTAAAAATATTTGTATTTGGAGTGAATAGTAGGAGAAGTTTTTCTTTTATTGTGTGATTTATTAAAGGATTAGAAGAACTGAGAACACAAAAGCAAAAGCATTTGCCATAACCTAATACTGGGTAGCTTGGCGAAGTGGATGATCTTTTGATTCCAGCTGGCTGTAAGCTGTGCTCCAAGGTCACACATGGACCGTATAGCGGCTGCCAGAGGCGCCAATGTATGCTTTCGGTTCGACCTTGTTGAG